TCACTTCTAAAAGATGTCTAAAAAAATTGTATGTATGTTTAATCATAGTATATATTAGTTCGACGGATTTGTGACCTAATAAGTACGGTTTGTCGTTGTTGCTGTTGTCATCTCTCGTAGCTTAGTGGTCAAAGCATTGGCGCGTAAAGCCAAAGAGCCCGGGTTCGATTCCCGGCGGGGGTGTGACAACAGCAACAAATTTTTCCTCATTAATTTGAGGAAGTGTGTAGTGGGCAAAAAAAAAAGAATTCAAGAAATGAATTTTCAGAATAATATTTCATATTAAACTAACTCACTTCTAAAAGATGTCTAAAAAAATTGTATGTATGTTTAATCATAGTATATATTAGTTCGACGGATTTGTGACCTAATAAGTACGGTTTGTCGTTGTTGCTGTTGTCATCTCTCGTAGCTTAGTGGTCAAAGCATTGGCGCGTAAAGCCAAAGAGCCCGGGTTCGATTCCCGGCGGGGGTGTGACAACAGCAACAATTTTTCCCTCATTAATTTGAGGTAGCGTGTAATGGGTATAAAATTCAAAAATGAATTTTCAGAATAATATTTCATATTAAACTAACTCACTTCGAAAAGATGTCTAAATTGTATGTGTGTTAACGCTGTTTTTCCGATATTTTAGTGCATTTCGAACGCCCCCGTAAAAAACAACGCATCATCAATAACCTAAAAATCGCAATCTTATAAGACTATCGAACTTGTCATCTTTAAAACGGCGGAATGAACATCAGAAATTAGTTATCCTTGAGCTGTCGAATTATCCAACTGAAGTTTCAATGTATTACTCGGTAGCTGCTTTTTCTTTTCAAAACAGAAGCTTTTCAGTTTGCATTAGGAACTAAAACGTCTCGATTAACCCACTTATGATAACAATGGCGCATCGCGAATCGAACTTAACATATCCAAAGTCAGTTTAGCAATAGCTGCCAGTCAAATTCAATAATTGGTGTGACTGGCAGGTAGAAAGTTCAAGATATAATAACAAGCCGATTCATTGTAATGCTTGTAATGGTAAAAAAAAAATGAACAACTATCTAAGCATATACAGCGTGTTCTACAATACGGAAGTAAGGCAGTATTAAGAAGAACGTTACTGTCACGTTTAATTTGAATTATGTAGTAGTATGAAAACTTTGAGGATAAAAAAGTAAACATATCAACTTTCATATCCTGAACCAACGGCACTTCCCGACTTATTTGCGATCATAATCTGACCTAAATCATCCTTTGTCCCTATTATTCCTGTTTCTGCACCCAGTATGCACTATAACTAGTCCTTCATGTCTCAGAGGTAGTTGAATTTCATAACGCCCCTAGCTGTCCTGCTATTTCTAGTAACTCCTTATTGCTAATGACTTTGTGGAACTTGTCATTATCTGTCACGATTAATATGAATTGTAGCATGAAACCTAATTTTGAGGATAAAAAAGTAAACATATCAACTTTCATATCCTGAACCAGTCTTCCGGAGTTATTTGCTACCATAATCTAAGCTAGATCTTTCTTTGCCCATATTTATTCCTGTTTCTGCTTCCAGAATCTCTATAACTAGCCCTTAATGTCTCAAAAGACGTTGAATTCTATAATGATCCCACTTGTCCTGCTATTTCTAGTAACTTATCAATGTCATTGTAGAATTTGGTGTTATCTAAGCAGTTTGGGACACCAATACCAGACTATTGCTCTTGTCCATGGTCGGAAATTAATAATAACAATGGTCCTTAATTAAACACTTAATTTTCCCACTGATACTTAACAAGGTTTTAACTTAATGTGTTTATTGAATTACTTATAAAGAATTTTCTTTTGAAAATACTCAATGGTAATAACTGTGGGTTAACTTACCTGTCCACATTGCAGAAAATGTCTAACGTTAGAATGCTCTTTGTTATTAATACTTCTTATGAACTTTAGCCAGTTGTTCACATACTGGGAACCATCTAACCACCCTCGAGTTTCGCCAGTCAGCACCTGAAATAGAAACAAATCACTTAGATAATTAATTAACAATATTAAACTGTTTTATTAATATTTTTGTTTCCGTGTTATTCATTAACGACATTTTCAGTTAGTGATGCATCAATTACGAATCGATCGTTAAAAAAGAAGAAGAATTTTCAGAACAGCTACTGTCTATTTCGAATTGTTAGAATTGTGACCTTGATTAAATCTGCGCGAAGATAGAAAGAATACACACTAGGCGTGAGCAAGACAGAAATAGTTGGAACAAGCTTGAACGAGCAGAGCTCTCGATGGGCGGTCTTATGAGATCGGCAAGAACTGTACAGTACTAGACGAAAATGTTTAGCAATTTCTTAAAACAAAAATGTATATAAATTAACAATAGAAAACAAAGCAAAAGTTTTATAGGTGTGTAGAACGTTAAGTTAATTCACTTGTTATTATTTTTGGCTAAATATGCTTTTAAATAAAGCATATTCTTAAATTTTAACGAGGCAGTTTAAATAATTTTGCAAATGGTACTGTACACTTTTGTTTAGTTCTCGCTCGATGATCGCTGGAGAAACGAGCTCCGCGGACAAATATGATTGAATTTGGAATTATGCTACGGCGCATCCTAATAAAGGGAAGGGGCATATCTCTAACTTCTTGAAACGAACAGTACAAGAAAATTTACAACCATCTATAATGGCTGTGAAAGCCCAAGAACTTAGGTACCTAAAGCGTTTTTATAGAGATATAGTTTTGTTTCTCTTGCCTAATCAATTTCTTGATTAATTTGTTTAGCTCCCAATTTTTTGTGCACGAATGTTCTAAAGACAAATAGTCCAGAATTAAAATGGACAGCTGCAATTAATGTAACAGTAAACTCATAAAAAAACATGTACCAATTGTAAATAGAAGAAAGAGCAATTCGTCTCTTACAAAACGACGTACTACATTATTAGAAAAACACGTTTCATCGGGTACATCGGTTGGTAATGATTTTAATTGATTAGTGTATTGTTGCCGTTAAAAAGTGGGCCCTATTAAGGCCAATTCGAAATGCCAAGGCTAATGGCCGCTTCGACGATCCAACAAAGAAGATTAATTTTTAATTTCCAACCAAACAAGATGCTCTTTACTTTCATAAGCTTGTTCTTTTTTTTTTTTTTTTCGATCCTTTTTGAAAGGAGCTCGCCAGTATTATTCCTCTCACGAAAGTTTGAACCTTAATGCGAATTAAAAAATAAATTTCAAAAAGCGGCTCCGATGGCATTACAATTAATAATTTAAAGTGCGTTTAAACGTACAATATGCGTCCAATGCTCTTAATTATTCTCATACCCGAATTGCGGTCATTCGCGGTGAAATTGTCCAATGCCCCTTTATATTTCGTACAACTGCAGTATCAACAACGGAGCGGAGGACTTTACACTCTCGGAGACCATTAAGTCAAATTGACAGGTACCTACTGATGTTTCTTCTTTTCTTTTCGTTTTTAGCAAAACATCAAGATAAGAACCATAAAGAGCCAATTTATTTTAGAAATTTTTCGTACTTTCTCCGCGAGACGGGAATCACAATTATTATTATGAAAGGCCTTTATTTAACTGTACGGCATTAAATCCACAAAATCAACAATTAATAATCCATTCAACATATTAATATGCTTAAAGCATTACGCAATCGTTTTTGGAGGAAAATGTTTATAGAATGGCACAAGCGCAATCAAATTTGTTGGGTTAAAAAAAAGCTTACCCCATAAAGATAGAGTGGGATGCGCATTATCACTACATAGTATAAAACAAAGTCGCTTTCCCGCTGTCTGTCCTTATGTATGCTTAAATCTTTAAAACTAGGCAACGGATTTTGATGCGGTTTTTTTTAAAAGATATAGTGATTCAAGAGGAAGGTTTGTATGTATAATACATGCATTATATAGTAGGGAAACACTGATAATTTTAGAGGTTTCTAATGTGATGTCATGAATAAACACATTTTTTGCACTTACATTGCAAACGCTGGCGGAACCCTACGAGATAGATCAAAATAATGTACTACAATATTATACATCTTAAAAGGGTCTACAAAAAAGTTCGGGATGGTATATGTCTATCTCTTAGGGATAACCCACAATAACCATTTTTATCCTTTACTTTTTATGAGAAATAATGACTTATTTACGAAGCGATTGTAGGCAATACAAAATTAATTCTTATCCAATTAAGTACCTTAAATACATTGTGCATTTAATATAGATCAATATGGCCCTTTACAACATGTAATTTAAATGAATATTTTCGAAGATATTACAGATTTAAAATGCAGGGACATAGCGGTTGCGGCGGTACCGGCCGGGAGGCCGGTTTGTATTCTCTAATGACAAAAAAACTGTGAATGTTGCATATGAAGACATTCTGTAGTATATTTAGTATGTTGCACCCGTGCGATGCTGGGGCGGGTCACTAGTAAAGCTATAAAGCAGTGATTCCGAACCTGAGGGTAATTACCCCCGCGGGGTAAATCAATTATTCTATGGGGGAAACAAAGAACCTAATAATTAAGACGTAAAATACGTAGCTAAATATTAAAAATATAAAATTATAGATGTGTCAATGTTTATACAACTGTATGCACAATTGGTAAATATTGAACCAAGCAAGATCACATTTGAAAATTCTGTGGTTCGGCATTTATCTGCAGCAATAAACTCGCTGAATCAATATTTTCCGGATATGGATAATCGTCAGTCCAGTTCTTGGACATTAAGACCATTTACTACGGATGATGACATTATTAAAGATGAAGAGCTGGCGGTTAAAGTGGAATATCTTGGACTACGCCAGAATACTACTTGCAGAGTAGAATTTCAAAGTTATGATTATGGCGAAAAGCTGGTGCCGAATATCCTGCTCTAGCTAACAGAGTTTTAAAAATGTGAATACCCTTTGCCACCACCTATAAATGTGAGAGTGGTTTTTCATACACTGAAAACAAAGACCAAAATCTTTCTAAATGTGGAACATGACTTAGGATGCGCTTTAAGCGAAATTAAAGCTAACAAAAAACTTGGAAAACTTTCCGATCTGCAGATTTTTCTTGCTGCACTTTCAAAAATCTCAGATTTATTATCAAACGGATTTTTCAAATCGGTTTCAACTGCTTTATATCTGCGGTTCCAACTTATCACTTTTAGATACCAAAAACAAAAAGCCGTGTCTCTTGCTTAGCTACGTGTGATAAAAGTGGTTATTGGCTGTAGAAGAACAATTTATTTTTGAGTAAAGAACAGACGAGGCTCTCTATCACCCGATGGCGGAATTACTGATACCGATGATTTAAATAGTTGTCCGCGCCCGTGTTTATGCAAATTCTTCACGAGCTGCCTAAGTGGCCGTTTAATTTATGGAAAGGTTATGCCCACAATTTATCTTCCTTAACTTCTGTGTGCTACGGCCACCATAAGAACACCTTAAGATAAGCCGTTCCACACGCCGCACGCGGTTTCAATAAAAGCTTTATCTAATTACAAAACCGAATATCAGTCGAGTCAATGCTGTATACACAAATGCATGTATGCGCATATATAAACAATTTTTTATTTAAATCTAATATACACTGACGGCGAGATTTGTCAAGAATGGATAGCGAATCTTTTCCAATAATGGTAAAACTTGCTTGCGTAATCGTACCGTTATGAAACGATATCAAGCATCTGATGTCCTTATTCGGGTCTAAATGCTGTCCTCGGTTGAAGTTGCTTCTTAACGTTTCCTTAGCACGAGTGGCGAGCTTGCTTCTTCACATATCGTTCCATCTCCTGGAGTCTCCACATCTACCATCGGAGATGGAAGGACTTCTGAAGAAGCTCGCCACTCATGCTAGGGAAACGTTAGGAACAATTACAATCGATGACGATCCTTAACACCGAGTCAGGACAGCATCAGTTCACCTACTGGCGAAAGCCTTTACTAATTTGTCAATATGATCATCGTCCGCCTATCTACTCGTATAAGGTATAGACGGGAAGAACTGAAATATTAGATACCTAAACATCAAAGTATTTTGAGGTTTGTAGGGTTTAGTTTCATACCACTGTTTTAATTGTAAAATGTTCCACGGTTGGTTAGATAGACACTTCTATTTTAGTGTTATTATTATGTAGTAGTAAGGATATAAAGCAGAAGACAGCGCTGGCTCGAGTTGTATTCAATAAAAAGAAGTCACTTCTATGCTCGCGAACGGTTAATTTAGAAGTTTGGAAAAAACGTGGACGAGGGGCGCGGCAGAAAAGAATAGGTTATACAAGCGTCCGAAATGTGGTGTTACAGGCGAATGATGAGAATACCGTGGATAGAGAAGGTTAGAAATGAAGAAGTATTACAAAGAATAGGAGAACAAAGGATTCTATGGAAGTCAATAAGAAATAAACGACATACGTTGGTAGGAGACCTTCTCAGGCATGAAGATCAAGTCAGAGACATATTAGAGGTAGAAATTGGAGTTAAGTGGAGTAGAGGTAGACCTAGATTAGATTACTGTTCACAAATAATTAAGAATGCGTGATGTTCTAGTTCTAGAAAAATGCGAAGATTAGTTCAGGATAGGAACAAGTGGAAGTGCGTGTTCAACCAGTCTTAGGACTGACGAACTTATGATGATGATTATCAAGGAAGAGATTCTTCGATTAGTGGAGATGTGAGGGCTTGGAAGTGGAAGATTGTTTTGTGATTAGACGTTTCATATGATTACGAGAAATAGTAATGGTCGAACGATAAGATGGTTACCTGCCACACGGGCAGTCCGAGTTCTGTTTTTAGTCAATGCAATTGTCCTTTCAAATCCACGTCCTGGCCGCCCTTATGAAGTCATTAATATTCAGCAATTGATTATCTAAAAAAGATTATCCAATCTTGATGAAAATCAAAAGTGTTGAAACTATGTACATATGTATCTACATTATTACCGGAATAGATCCGGCCATTGATAGGTACTTAATTTGTTTATGAGCTTTTGTTGAAACGTTC